AATCACTGATCCGCGTGGCCGAAAGCGAAACGTAAGGTATGCACCGAGAAGCGACAATCAAACACTAAAAGGAAATATGAATGTCAAAACTGACATTGGCGATTACCAAACGTATACGAATGCCATAAAATACTTTACAAGTTGATTCACCACGCATCACAACAATTCCGGTAGAGCGGGATAAAATGCAAATGGGGTCGACCGTTAACTTGAGACAGTCAGTGCCACATCCACACCACTAAACATTACACAATTCCGGAGGCGAGCCAATCTGTGTGATCGTTTAACTCGAAAGTAGTCGAATCACAGAATGAGTGTTGAAAAATGAGGAGCAGAAACGTTTGAGCGGTTATGATTCTTAATGATAACCGAAGAATGGATGGCGCATCTCCCTGCAGCAGGGTACAGGTATTTTAGTCTCAAGGACAATCTGTCAAATGTATTCGGCGGTAATTAATCAGGTGGTTCACGATAAGTTCATTAAGCTCAGCGAACAAGTCTGAAGAACAGTAGCGCTGCATCGACCACAGTTTATCAACCTATTTGTTCCACATTCGTTTAACTGAAAAATACTGAAATTTCGGTTCACGGAAGCAACAGATTCGGGTGTGTATAACTTGCTTTGTAATCATTTTCATACAAAGGTTGATTGTTGTCGCATTCATACACAGCCTGAAAATACAGTATCTTTTCAGTGTAGTCCGAGCAGGTAAGATAAGTGCAGCATGAGGATACTTTTGGACTTCGAAGGTAATACTATATGAAAGACCGATCGAAACGAAGACCACTATAGGAGATCCCGGGTGCAAACACTCCACAAACGCAGATTAGTATTTTCTGCTGAAGCCGACCCAATTCACAAAAATGGCGAGTGGAAAAGACGGATTGGTGGGAAATCCATGAGAAAAAGGTTCAGCACGGACAGTCAAAACAAACCAAGTTTCTATTAGCAAATCCTGCATAAAGTCGTGTTTTTGAAGCTGAAATCACATTGACTGCAATGCGACGATCCTAGTAGAAACCAATAATCAATCAGCTGTAATGAATGGGAAACGCAGTACGAATATGCTCACGACCTTCCGATGCTGCACACCAGTAATGAAAACGTACCCATATGCTTGAGGTACCAGACAGAATTCATGTTTCTATTTGGCTATAATCGATTAGGCAATTAGTCATTTCATAAATCGGATCCAAGCCCCACTGAAATCGTCCATGTAATCTGGTCGGGAATCACATTACAATAATGCGAAATCTTGAAGTTCACATTGTTGACAATAGGGCCAAGCATAGCCGACTATATTACTTCAATCATGAAGGATGAAGACAAGCATAATTCCTCAATCCGTTCGCTGGTCTCCGAAACCAACAAACGTAGCCGTATTAGGACTGAGAGACATTAGGAAATATCCACTGTAACTGGAGCCGGTTACTCCCTAACTCACTAGTGAGAATTGCGAAAGCATGTACACATGAATTGCGTTTGGTTCGAATTGGAAAAGCCGAGGGTGATGCAAAACCGGGTAAAATAGGGTTGCATTATCAGGACTCTTAGTTGCCTTACTCAAGAATAAAGTTTCAAACCATCACCACTAAAATTTCTTTAGCAGTGTTAATAATAAGTCACCAATCAAGATAGAAGATATTGGTCCCATGGGGACATCCCCTTCCCGCTTAGTCTGGGAAGAGACATGTAGTTCACGTTGACAAGGTTTGCAACTATCCGCTTACCGGCATAAACACGACAAGAACATCACGCCTGATACGACAGGTGATGTACAAGAACCGAGTCACTGTAACAGTACTCGTAGTTAAATAATAAAAAGGCAAAGGCTTTTGAGGTGGCAAATAAGGAACTTTCTGTATGTTGCTTGTGTAAAACCACACGGCATATCAGTTACTTAGATGAGCTTAGAAATGTGATAGAAGTTACGAGGAATATTTGCTGACTTATCAATACTCTGGGAACCTTTCAGACAGTAGGCGGTAAAAAAGACCGTTTTTATTCGTGGGAGAAGAACACGCGTTCCCCGTAAAACCAAAATGTGGGTGGAGGAAGCGGTGGAAGGGAAACTGGGGGTTAAGATTATTGGGGGCAAAGAAAGTTTCAAATTAACCAATCGGAGTTGAAGCAACACGCAAAGGTCAAAAAGGACCCAACAAGGTTCGAAAATAGTCGTTTTGAAAGACCATGGGGAAGATGTGCAGATAAGTGATGGTGTAGTGCCGTAGAAGTCGCAACGGCAGTCCATAGGCGGTGGTTTTTCGGACAGGTGTAGTCGTGTGACCTCATACAAAGAACACGACAAATATAACGAAGAAGATCAAAAGAACAGCAAACACCTTGATCATGAGCCATCGATTGGAACTGATGGAGCGAAGATAACGTAACAACTCAGAATGACCAGCTTCTATGGATGTGGTAGCATCCTCGATGTTCATGTCAATGCGTTGTATTGATTCATCTTGCTCGTGAACCTGTTGGGAGAAAAATACAGAAGTTTGTTACAGGGAGGAGGGCTTGGAGGTGGGAGAACGAACACGGAGGGTAGCTTTAACTTTTGAGACTGGACCAAGCCTTGATTGCCAAAAGTACGGTACACAGGGATGTTGTGCGCGCGCCTGTAGTTCTACAGTTTCATAATTTAGCACAAAATGCCTCGCTTAGTAATATAGTACAGATCACCCTCACTCCCATTTAGCCCGTCCCACTTTATGCACACTTTTCTGTTAGGGCTGATTTGTTCATTCCCAGGCATGTTTGCGGCTCTTTACTCGTTAGCGAGGACTCCAGGTTATTCCATCAGTCTGCCGGTGAACTTCACCACGAGCTATACTAGCTGACTGTGGTTCTGACTGGATATACCATGCAGTTGTATAATGACAATTATTTTGGTAGCTCACATTAATAAAATTAGAGTGAATTGTTCCGTTCCAAAAAGCCATCCAAAGTTGTAGGATATCAGGGAGGTATAGTCCGTTCTTGGAGAGTTGGTTGCGGACAATGTTGACTCACTGTTCGGGGATGCGAGCTGGTAACACAACTTTAAGACCGGTTATGAAGAATCACTCAACTTTATGTAAAATAAAGCATCAAACTTGCCAGATATCAAGGTTACAATAATCCAGGCCATCTTCAATCAGTTTTGAGTTTCCAGCGTGTACTCTGTTAGTACAAGATCAAAGTAACTCTTCTTGCTGTAGGATTACATTTGTCTACAAGAGTACGATCACTGACCAAGAGGCCGAATTCGGTAAATACAGCTCTTCCGTGCACGGCATTTTTTGCGAGGATGGTCGAACAAATAACAAACGAATACAGCATAAGACAGCCTCAATTACAGGAAGAAATCTCCCAAATCTCCTCAAACTAGCGAAGATTGATAAGTAGCTCACAAGGTATATAAATCAACACGATGAGTGAAACTTTCACAGTAGTTGTCATTCGGGGAGCCAGTCAATAGATGGCGTGATGTGAATTCCGTGGCTGAAGGATGAATGGTGCTGTACCTTTGGTAATTAACCAGGTGTCTGCTGATCTTTTAGCCGAGCTTGTTAACTGATTTACGTACGTTTCTTCACCATTGCGGAGACATCGTCCGTGCGCTAGTGACCTCTCTGAAAAATGGTGACGAAAAGTCCGCAAGTCAATTGCCAGACTTGGCGAACAGATCAACAGTCGCCTGATCAACTGCCAATAAACGCATTCGAGCTACGAATATTCTAACACATTAACAACAATTTCGGGTGCTATATGCTGTCCAAGCTGACCAGTCACTTGTTGCCAAACGCCTGAGTGTTGAAGGTCACGCATTCGAAACTCCCTAGAGTTTGGCGGAATGCGCACTACTAATGATCTCCAATAAGAATGAAACAGTTATATTGTTTCTCGGCTTTCCAGTACAGACCTAAATAATGTACAGGACAAAACCTCCATTAAAAAAGAGAAACCAGTCCGAAAACTGAAGTCACAACTGCATACCATCTGGTAGATCACAGAGCGATAGTACTCGCACAAACGACCCCAAAAAAATTCGAGGTTTCATCACAATATACAGGATCCGTCGACTAAACGAGACATTTCCTCTCGAAACTTTTTTCATTCCAACCAAGCCGAAGCTAGGTGAATGAATCTATAAAAGCAATGTTACCGACTTTGAAGTTTATGAGTGAAACTCTATGAAGAGAGCAATCCAGCCTTACGACCTCTGAATAGTCATCATCAAAGACAGCAACATCAGTGTTGGCATTGATGCTTCACTGCCGTACAACCATAAGGTTCGTCTGGCTATATATAT